CACGATTTGATGACTTCCCCCAATTTGGAGAATACTAGTACTATTGCTAATAGAGGCCACGCAGGTCACAGTTTCCTGCGATATGTGCAAGGTTGCTTTTTAGAAATATTGTCCATTATGATTGTTTTATTCCGTATTAAAGGTTGATCACATAAAAAATGTGCGTATATTGGACCACGAATTTGTTGCTTGTCTTGTTTAATGTTAAAAATCCATTTGATCTGGGAAATCTTTACCATTAAAATCAAAACATGGATATTGTTAAATATGGTTGATTAAGCAGTCTTGCCAAAAGACTCGGTAAAAAAACAACACCCGGACCCATGTGTACACATCTTGTTGTAACATTAACTGGAATTATGAAAATGTTCGCTTCCAGTAAGAAAGATAGTCTATATGTTTGCACTATTCGAGGTTCAATTGTTTTACTTATTCATATTTGTGAATTGCTGCGACTGTTTCGACTGTGAAATTTCAAATTAAATACATTAAATCAATTGCAGCGCCCTCTAGTGAAACACTTCTGTGATCTGAAAGGTACGGTGATGGGTATAGGCAACTCGCAATGTCGTTCGAATTTTCACTCTGTTTGATTGTAATAGTAAAAAGCCGTTTGTCATTTGGGGTCACAGTCAGCTGGCGTACACGTGGTAATACAATAAATGCGACCAATTTACTGATATTTACCTTCTTCAATCCTCTAGCCAAGCAAGTCATTTCCTTATGTTTGGCGAGGATTAAAGATGGCCGTCCCATTTAGTAAGTATTGGTAAATTAATTTGTGTTATATTATCATTTATACGCCAGCTGATTGGTTTTAGAATGTAGTAAAGCAAACCCCCGAGACCCTTCATAGATAGAGGGCGCGATTTGTGGGGCATGTGCACTGAATGAGTTAAGAATATCTTTCTTTGGATGTGGTATGTGGTGGTTACACCCCCTATACATTAAATGCTTTCGGGACGCAAACTTGCTTGGGTAATTATTCAATTTCATCTATTTGTTATTGTCAGTGACAACTAGAACGTTTACAATGTATAATCAAAAACTGTTGACATCGTTAGTATTTCAAATATATATATACCAATGACATTTCATGATGGATTTAGCTCGTATATGATAATTCGCTCAACTCTCATCCTCGTTCAAGGCCTATTTATTGATGCAGAGAAAGCTGCTGCGGCGTGCATAGACGTAGCAGTGAACCCTGAATATGATGGTGTCAGTGGAACCTATTTTGAGCATGGTAAAAGAAAGATTCCAAGCGCCCTCTCGAGGTACGTATACGTGATCTCGAACTTTCCTATACTGTATTTGTAATCAGTATCGCCTAAGTTTTGTTCATTTCTATTTTTTTTTTTGGCACAAAGAATTGATTTTTCCAACCAGACTTATTTTGCGTGAATATTGTCAAAATGCTTATTCGTCAACTTATATTTAAGCTGTAATGCCCATTATTACCCATAGATCTTAGTTAAACAAGACTTATGATATACCTTACACACAAATGGCTGCCGATATCTCATCATCAGTGAGAGCTCCGCGAGACTTGTTTATGCCTCGAAAATACTATTCCGCTTTCTCCTATATCATCTGTTATATTCTAAATGTTATAGTCACACGGTCAAGGAGTGACCACAGTGACAGAAGAAAGTTGAATACTGCTTGAAGGGCAAAACAAAGTTTCGTGGATTTCTCGTTCTTAACGAGATCTCAGCGGTCATTTCTGTCTATTAAAATTCTTGAGTTTATTCGTTAACATGTCACATTAAACAAACTATTACAGTCAAAATGCAATTTTTCGAAATTGCATTTTTTACACTACATACAAAGTTGATATATTACTGTTCTATGTTGCATAGAGGAAGGTGATTTGTATATTTCTCTGCGGTGTTTTTCATTTATTATTTAACCATGATTTCTGTAAGCAAAATTACATTCTACTAAAGGGTTTCTTTATCCCACCCATCAGTATTTTGTGCGCATTAACAATAGTATATGAATATATATATATATTCATATCCATTATTATTATTGGTGAAATCAATGTCACATAAATTGATACTCAAGCACAAGGTCATAACAGTTGACACTATGTTTTTGACAATACAGTGTATTTTCGCGGTAATTCAATTTATTATATATTTTATTTCTTTGTTCTATTTCAGAAGTGTCAAAAAACAAGAGGAATTGTGGGAGTACAGTATGCAATGTCTGAAGGGATATTATCAACAACGTGGTTACCTAATATGGTAGCATAAAAACTGTAATTTAATTCTTTGCAACAATGAACTTTAAAGGAACACTGATAGATAACACGTTACCATGTTACATGTTACCAAAAAACAATTGTCTTCCAGATGACATCAGCAGTTGTACATGCTCTCGAGCTCAGAGCGCCGTATGATTGATTTCTCATGATATGGGGTATGATACGATTGGCACAAGAACACATAATACACATTATTATAAGCCTGAGTTGGTCAATAATTGTGGTTGTTATTGTCACAATGAGGACATAGAACACTGTCCTCTTTTTTTTAAATCACTGGCGTGATAAGATTTGATAAAATTGCACCCTCTAGCGACAATATGCTTCAGAACAGTAACAAAAAATAGATGGGCAACGGTAGTACAAATCTACAACTATATTTGGTTATGTAGCACTCGTCATTTAGAATAATGTAAATATACTAAAAGCAGTATTTTTATCAGTGGGTATGGAGGGGTAAGTGAAGCTAGTGTAATTCAATCATATAATATATGTAGACGTTTGCCTGTTTGAAATCAAACTCCTGTGTGCTGAGAGTATTGGAGACACATTAAAATTGTACTTGAGATATTGAAAACTGAAAACTGACTAGGTAATTATGCATATCAGGTTATTAATATGCACAGATTTGAGTGTAAAACTAATAAAGTATGTACAATGTCACACACCATCTATGTACCAAGTTTTATTGAAATGATCAGAACCAAAAATTATGAATTATTATGCTAATTAGGTATTTAATATGCACAGATTTTAACCCAAAACTAATCAGGTCTGTGCATTGTCTTAGAGCATCTATGTACCAAGGTTCATTGAAATGGAATAATTAGTACTTGAGACATCAGTATGAAAGCTGAAAATTGGTTACTTAGGCAAATTAGGTATTTAATATGCACATATTTAACAAAAAACTGATTATGTCTGTGCATTGTCCTAGAGCATCCATGTACCAAGGTTCATTGAAATGGAATAATTAGTACTTGAGACATCAGTATGAAAGCTGAAAATTGGTTAATTATGCAAATGAAGTAATTATTATACACATATTTGAAACTCAAACTAATCATGTCTGTACATTGTCCTAGGCATCTATGTACCAAGTTTTATTGAAATGGATAATTAGTACTCGAGATATTAGTGTGGAAGCTGAAAATTGGTTAATGATGCAAATTAGGTAATTAATATGCAAACATTTTTACCCAAAACTAATTAATTCTAATAGTCCAGAGCATATATGTACCAAGTTTCATCAAAATACAATGAGCGGCTCTTTAGATGTCAATGAAACTGTCATAGAACAGATACATATTAGGTAATTATCATGTAAATTAAGTAATTAATAGGCATGGAATTCTACAAAAACCTCATCAAATCAGTGTATTAACCCAGAGCATGTATGCATCAAATTTCATTAAAAACTTGTGGTTCTTGAGATATCAATGAAACAGAGACTCCCAGTAAAGTATGCACGTAGACAGTACAGCAAGATTATTGACTGACGCGCAGCGAAGGTCAATGTTACCACGTACTGTCCAAGTGCATATTTTGCAGTATCCTCGTAATAACATTATTATTAGACATATGTATATTATTACATGAATGAATACCTACCTACCTACCTACCTACCAGGAATACATCAAGAGAATGCCAAAATCCAAAACATTTAGAACAGATTTTAACAAACTTCTTTGTGTACTGTCCGGTCAAACACTGGTGGCAGCCATGTTTGTTTTTATTTATTTGAGGACGCTTACACGTGTAATTGTTCAATATTTGGAATTCGCATTTCCTAACCGCTGATCATCGATTGATCAACTCCATGACTTTAGCACATCGCTATGGAAACACGCATTGCACAGACATACCTGAAAGCAATGTTGCCACCATCAGAATTGATTTTTTTTAAAAATGCATTTGACTTAAGGCACAAAATTGTGATCCCTAATTTTCTTCGTATTTACACTTATGTTTATAAAACAAGAATTTCATTTTACTAAATTGCAAGTTTCATAACTAAAATAAGATGTTAAAAATATCAGTATATGATTTCCCATTGTGACGTCCAATGATGTGCCAGTGAAATAGCACAACTCGTTACGTCAGTGCAAATCTATGCTTCAGTCGAATTGCACACTACCTGTAGGTGAAGCTCCGCCCACAATACTTCAGCACGAATCATAAGTCTATTGTTCGTAGATTTTTCAGTCTCGGATTTAGTTCAACTTTGAGTCAACTATAGAACTTTGATCATGTTGGGCAATATTGATTCACTTAAGGATTTAAAGCAATAAAACATATTAAATGATATGAGATTATCATAAAAATTCAAAAAGAAAATGTTTGTGAACATCCCAAGTATTGGTATATGAAGCATAGAACTGATCACAATTATGAAAATTGCTACGATTATTATTACTTTCACGCTATGAACCAAGTACTGTAAAATACTTTTATTAAGATTTTTTGGGTGTTTTGTATGAAAATTATTTTTACTGATTTTTGACGAGTTGAAATATAGAAAAAAATGTACTGTAAAATGACTAATTTTCACTGGGATTGAATTTCGATGATTTACCATTTCAGGCATATTAAATGGGTTTAAATTCATGGTTGTATCATTTGGATAATGTGTTCTATGCTAAATTTTACATATTCACTGGGTTTTAATTTAGCGCATTTTCCAGTAAGCGAATTAAGCAAAATTAAAACCCAGTGAATAATTAACACTTTTACAACACATCTGCTAGATTTTATTTTCACTGAATTATCCAGATGTATGTATATCATGTTAGATATTAAATTAAAATTATCCAGTCATCATAGAAATATTTAAAAAAAAATAGAAGTACAATATCCCGTGGAATGTCTAGTGTTTTTTGGCATTACTGTATTAACAAAAAAATCGGGCAACATTTTGGGTGTTGCAGAAGATGTAAAAAGAAAGTGCAATATGACTATTATACATCTGTCACCGTAATGCCATTAGTTACAGCGTGCTATAATTTTGCGGTATTTTACAGGGTATTTTCATCCTACCATATTAAGAAAAGAGAATTCCAAATATGGAACGATTACGTGCGTAAGCGTCCTCTAATAATAAAAACAAACATGGCTGCCCCCAGGGTTTGACCGGACCCCACACAAAAAAGTTCACTAATCTGTTCTAAAACGTTTTGGACTTCCGCATTCCATGATGCATTTCTCAAAGAAAAAGATGTATAATAATAAGGTTATTACGAGGATGCTGCAGAGTACGTGGTCGCATTGACATCCGCTGCACATCGGTCGATACTCCCGCTGCACTGTCTTTGTGCATGCTTTGTAGTATTCTTGTAATATAGCCTCATATTATAAAGTATTTCACATTTCAACCTGGTGATGATCAACTTGTGTTAGTAAACAACTCTATATAAAGACCACCTGCCTATAGTGACCATTGTTAGGCAGTCCCAAAGCATAACATATGAGCAGCCTGTATATAAAGACTACCCATCTTATGTGACCACCCTTTCAGCAAAACTTTTCAGCAGATCAACCTTAGAATCCAAAATAATGTTTTCCCGAATAATTTTTAATTTCCTATTTGATTTTTCATAAATTCAAATGAGTTTTTGTTGCAGCAGTACGTTTTCTGGATAAATGTGAGGTTCATAAAATAATAACCTATAAATAAATACCACCTGTCTATGAAGAACATTTTAAGGAAGTCACTTGAGTTGTCGCTATACACAGGTTGGTTATGTACATACTTATTGCATGGGGTATGCTGTTCTACACTATGCACCGCCCGTACTTAAAGCGCAAAACAATCCAACGCGGATTGAACATCTGACAGACAACGCTAACATAACAACAATAAGGATATCACAGCATGCTCAATAGCATTACGTAGCTGCTTACATTTTCGAATAAATTAAACCCGTACAAGTACTGTATAGTGCTCGTCATTAGCTGGGTTTTATTTTCCCTTATTTTGTTAAAAGCTTAAAATCCAGTGATTACCAGTACACAAAGTAAAAATTAAACCCAGTGAATATTTTCCCCCCTTTACAGACTTTCACAAATGCCACTGAATTGCCAAATTCAAAATAATTAAAATTTAATCTTTTAAAGTTTTACAAATCAGAGGACATCATGTATAACAAAGGTTATTCAACGTGGTCAGAAAAAAACACCATTAAACAGACATTTTTTTGCAATGAACAAAAAAAAAAAGAAAAACATGCATCACAAAATATTTCTGTAGTTTACAGTACACTGATGTCAAAGGTATATTGTTTATTTGGTATACAGAAATGGATTTGTATAGGAAGCCCACATAAACTACATATTGTGTCATTAACACATTTTGGAATCACAGAGTAATCTACTACAAACTAGAACATATGAAATGTACTTTGTGTCGCTTTCAGTATGTTGAAAAAAAAGACTGTAAAATACTTTATTTTAGCTGGATTGGATTTAATTTTCACTGAAACGACTTTTTGGGTTTTTTGTGTGGAATATATTTTCACTGATTATTTGACGAGTTTAATGTAAAATATAAGAAAAAAAGTATATTCGCTGGATTTTTTTTTTCAATGAATTATTCTTTAGACAAAAATTAATTCCAAGCGAAAATAAAGTATTTTACAGTAGTTTGTAAATTACCCAAGTCGACACAACACTAAGATTAAGCAAATATAAAATAGTATAAATCAATCACCTTTAAAAAGAAATCTAAACATAGTTGAACTCTGGTGACCTTGCCCTTTGTTATATAATATAATTCCCTTTATCATAGTTTGTTTCAATATAAATATGCATTGTCATAATTAATTATGAATACAAACAA